ACTTTTCGCAACCCCCTTCCAATATCTCAGTTGTACGAGGGGTGGATGATAACCCTCAAGAACACCAAAGGAGGACGGAGAACTTTTGGAAGTCTGTTTTTTATCGACACCCTTAAGAGAGTTCCTCTTCGCTCCCAAATTTCGATGATACGGGAAAGCAATTAATTTTGATAAAGAAATATATATATATATTTTTTTAAATTGCGAAATTTAGTGAATGCTGTTTATTCACTCGTCTTCCATCTTTTGGTGATTTAGTTTGATGAATAGAGCTGATAACGTCAAAGGAGGGTGGAGAACTTTCGGGAGTTTTTTTTTTTTTTTTCTATTTGCACTTTTAACGACCTCTTCGCTACCAAATTTCGACGATATGGAAATTTAAGATATTCTGATAAAGAAACGTATAAATAAAAACGGGGAAATTCGGAGAATTCTGTTTAATGGCTCGTTTACCATTTTTTGGTGCTTTAGTTTGATGATGAATGGGGTTGATAGGGGGAAGATATCCGTAGGTACCCATAGGGGGAAGATATCTACCCCTCGATTACGCATAATCGAACGCCGACCAGGGGCGGCTTTCGCCTGGGAATGGCTGAAGGAAATCGCCCCTCTGGGAGTACAGAGCTCACTCGGCGATAGTTTGTTCTCCAGCTCGGTGCAAATTACTCGGGGAGTTTGAAAATTCTCCGATCGCCACGTCTGGCCGGCCGCAGTTCACCCCTCGAGAAATGTATTCACCCCTCCTCCCAATCGGGTGTCAAAAAATTCCAAATTGATCTTTTTATTTTCATTTCTTAGGGTAAGTTTGAGTTCTCTCTCGGCGATTATGTATAGGGATGGTGAACGTCATTAATCTCGACGAGCACTTTTGCAGGGGGTGAAGGGGGTGCATTTCGATGGAGGGTTTCCAAGGACGCTTCTTCCAGTATCACGGCGAAGACGTGCGTTTCGAGACGCGAGACAAGGGCCGCCAGGTGGGCGGAAAGAGGGCAGGGCATCGATCGCCGGCCGCCCGGGTGGTCGGGGGCATTTTCGCCCCCGGACCCACCGGCTGCACCCTCGCCCCATCTGGCCTCAGGACCTCCGCAGACGCGCTCTGCCGGCTTAGTGTCACCTGCCCACCCCTGGCCGGTAATTCCGCGAATTACCTACCGGCCGCAATTCCCAAGACGCGTCGCCGTACCTGAGAAGAATTCGGCCACCCTGTTCAGAATCGAGCACTGCTTCGGAGAAGCTCCCCGAGGGACGACTCATCTCCCCTGGGAAAATGAGAAAGAATTATCCGATAATTTATTTCCGTCCAGTGGCAAATTCGGGCTACCTTTTCGGAAGAGCCTCCACCCTTAAGCGCCCTCCCCTCTCGAGGGAAGATTTCCCTCTCCATTCCGCACCTGCAGATATTCAAGACAAAATGTCCAATCATTTATTTCCGCCCTGTGTTCCGATCTGGGCATCCTTCCGAAAGAACAACCTCCCTTAACCCTCTGAACACGGAGCCGTTTCGACATATGGGCGAAATTCGTCTGACCGTGCAGGCAATATTGGACCAAACGTCGGGCGCCTTTAGGCGCCCTTGGTAGCCAAATAGTTAAGCGTCCTCCCCTCTGAGGGTGATTCCTCCCCCATTTAACACCTGTAAAAATTCTGAAAGTCCTGTCATTTATTTCCGACCACCTTGTTCGATGTCCCGAGATTAACGGCAGAGTATCGTTATCCGAATCTCGTGCGACGGATTGGCCGTTGTACTTTCGTTAACCCCCTCTTCTCCCACCTCGTGGGTGGCGCGTCGTTCTTCGTTAGCGAGGCGCCTCCACCCCATAACGACGCGTGCTTCGTTGCGAGGCGGACGTGTAACGATCCAATCGTAACGACGCGTATCCATCGGAAAACTCCCGAGCCGCGTTCCCGCCATTAAGGGATTACGTTCCCGTTGTAACGCGCGAGCGTTATTCGCGTCGTTAGTGTAATAATCACGACGCCCCCCCGGCGACGAATCGCGTCGTTAATGAGGTCTCTGCCAGGGGGGCGGAATTAATTGAGGCAACCTAAGATCGGTGGGTTTTGATTAACGGAATGCGAGGTTTCTCCTCGTTCTTATCGCTCCGATTGGCCGGATGATTGGGGGACGTCCGATAAGGGGCTCGATTTTTTTCCACCCCTTTAATAGGGTGGAATTAACCCAGCTTCATTTAATTTCCCGTTATTAATTGTAACGACCCTTTCGGGAATATGGGCTCTCGATTTGGTTCCAATCGAGATATCGAATTACCGGATCACTGACAGTGCCGATAATGGGGGGTAAGACACGAGTGTCGAATTTCGATGGAATCCATTACTGCAGCACAGGGCTCAGTCTTCCAGGGTTACCTAATGACTTGAAATTCAGTAAATTTCTAGATTTTCCGGAAAATCAGGCTTTATCTTCGTTTTCTGGAAAAAATTCATTTCTGTAAATAAAGTTGGATAAACGTTGTATCCAGTAGATCACTTAGGGTGTTATGAAAGGGACATTCTATACACGCGGAAATGTCAAAATAATTATAAAACGTGCCTATGGGGGTCCTAACAAAGGTCTTTAGACTCGGGACATTTCCTGTTTGGGGAAAAATAATTTTTTACTTATCCTAGACTAGAACGAAAAGAAACTTTTTTTTTTTTTAAATGACATTTCACGGGCATCACATTTTTCGGGCCTCCATAATTACGAGCTGACGTTCCAAATGACTTGGTGCACTCAGTTTGGAGAAAAAAAATCTCATAAATATTTTCACGTTTTATATATAGATTATGACCCTTTCGTATTACCTTAAGTCGCGAAGAAATTAACCACAGCTTCAGGTTTATCATCTTAGATAATTGATAGCGGGTGTCTTGAAGCGAGATGAATATTGGAAACGCAAACCGGAAATATCTCCGGCCCTCGAAATTTCGGTCCAGATTTTCACGACGGGGGGTGATGCCCCCCGCGAGAGGATTCGCGAGTTTCGGCGCAGGGGAAGAGAGAAGGGGGGGCAACCGTTGTAATCCTCTCCATAAAACAGAACGATCTCCGGCCCCCTGCCCCCCCGGAATCCTAACCTCCTGAGTAACGTTTCCTATTATGCCGAGGCGAAGGTTGGCCAGGACGTCCCGTCTTTCCTGGGACCCCTACATCCAGCCATCCGTCTTAAGAGGCACTAACTTCTCTCTTAATGCCTATCACCGTGACCGTCCTGGGCTAATATTATTCCAGAAGCGCCCTATGGTGTCCAGGGTGGGGCCCTGACCCCCCAGGAAATCTGAAACCCCCGAGAAGAATTTTATAAAAATATACAAGCACTCTCGAAAATTGCATTTTTTTTTCCGACACTTCTGCAGACGGTGCTACAGAATGGGAATTATCGGATCGTGGCTCGTATATTCTCGAGGAAACAAATTGACTATTTTTTTTAGTAATATCAATTTAATCTGATCTTTTTAATGAGTTTATTAAAATAACTAAGATATTACACAAAGATCGCGACTTAAAGAAAATCTGATTTTTAATATCATTATTTTTTTTTTAATAAATCATGATTTTATCAACCTTGTCAGGAGTAATCGGGGAATTTTAAACCTCGCATTAATTGCCAGTTGACTGGGTTTAAAAATCTTTTTTAGAGAAGACGTGGTCAGAGGGTTACCGGTATTTTTTATTATGGAAGTTCGGACGGGGTTGAGATGGGTCTTTGAGGTTTCCCAAGGGAGTCCCCCCAGACCGGAAACCTGGCCAGGGGTAACTCCTGGTGGATTTAGCGGGCGGTCTCGAAGCAAGAGAAACAATGCCGGGTTATGGTCTGGGGAGTCCATAATCCATACGTATATCCGCGGGAAATAAATAATACAGGAGTCGACGGATGCTGGCTGGCGGGATAAAACTGGCGAGAAAACACGAGGCGAGCGAACTCCCTTCCGGTCTCTGGTACTCTTAATGGACCCCATCAGTGCCCCATGGGGGAAGGGGGGAGGGTGCATGAAAATCAGGAGAAATATCGCAGCAACGAGCCCAGAGACAAGAGTACGTCTTCCCAGTGCATTCTAATTTCGCTAACAATTCAAATTTAAGTCCCACCTTCCATCGTATTGGTTTCAACAATTTTGTTCGTTGTTTTAACTCTTTGAGCGCTAAGCACTTTCGACATACGGGCGAATTTCCTTAGACCGTGCGCGCGATATTGGGCCAAACGTCGGACGCACAATGCGTCGACAGCGCTCAAAGGGTTATGAATTTCCTCAAAGCTTCCTGACATCATTCATTAAAATCTCACCTCTACAATATTTATCTCTCTTAATTTCAATAATAATTTCCTCTGTCGTCGAAATATGAGAAAAGGATTTCTGAATTTCATCAAGAAGCCCTTCTTACGTTTCTCCTTACGCACGGGGGGAATCGGTTCCCTCGCCAGGATTCTCACCCCCAGGACCCCCGTCCAAGTCGTCGGCAAGTCCCGCGTGCACGTCTCGTTACGCTTTAATCCTAGGCGGCGCTTAATATCTCCTTGAGTCGATTAAGTCCTGCCTGGCTGGCGTAGCGATATTCACTTAACTGCTGCTCGGCCATCCAACGGCGCTTTACGGCCGGTTCGAGGATTCCTTTTATGCTTCCGCCTTTAGAAGAACCGGAGCCCCCCGTCCCGCCCTCCACCCCGCTTCCATAACCCGCCCTCTTGCAGCTCCCGGGGAGAGAGAGAGAGCTCCGGCTTTGATCTGCTATTCCGTCTCTTTGAGCGCGAGATGATGCGCCAAGTCCGCGTCCTGCCCCACCCACCACCCACCACCCCCCGCCCACTCGAAGAAAACCATATAGATTATGAATTTAGCTCGTTACTTCGGCACGAGCTGGCGCAATACGAATCCCCCCCTCCTCGACATCCATTTCTCGTATAATTGAAAAAAATATTTCGAACCTCTCCCGTCAGCCGATTTTTTACGTGACGGATTATTGCAAGGTTTAAAATGCCGCTTTTCTCTTCCCGTTACAGAGGGGCAGCGACGAACTGCTGTCACAAAGCGGCACTGTCAGCAATGGGGCAGCGATGAGTCCCCAACCACATCACGCCGCTGATAACAATAATGACGCGAAGAAGGTAAGTGAATTTTTTATCAGAAATTTTGGAAAAGTTCCATTTTTGTTGAGAGGATCTTAAGGCGAGAGGTCGCGCTGTTTTTTTTTTTTTTTCTTTTTTTGGGTTCTGGAGAATTTAGAGAACGTTTCCATTTTTTATTAGAGATTTCGGAGAAGTACCATTTTCGGCGAGAGGATCTCGGGATGTTGATTTTTGGGGGTTGTCAAGAATTTCTAGGGATTCAAGTATCGACCTCCGGGTCAAGGTCTGGAGCAATTTCCCCTTAGGTTCCCTGCACTTAGATTAGTCCCATGAATTAACTCGGTACTCGGGTAGCCAAGTTGGCCATTCTGAACGCGAGCCGGGCACTGGAGCACCGTGCATTAATTACGCCACTCCTTGGGGCAGGTCCGGCCCTTTGGCTTTTCAGCGATCGCCGAGGGTGCGAGCACGAGAGAAACCACGCGATATACATGTAAAAGCCCGGGGAAAAGTCTGAATCCGCGTTAATCACGCCGGTGGGAAAAGTGCTAACGAGCCCTGTATTTCGGAAAAATTCCTTCCTCCGGAGTTTCGAAAGCCCTCCGCCTCGAATTTATTAAAAACCACCGCGTGATCTCCCTATTCGCCATTGCATTCGACAAATTTTCCAGATACCTAATATACCCCCGTTTTAAAATGGTCAAATGAAGAAATCAATTACATCCGACCTCGCGAGTCTTGTAAGTTAATATCCGAGAACGGGGAACCAAGATGGCCGCCGCGTCCCGGTTCTCCAGAACAGGTGCACCCCCCTTCTACCGGGAAAGTTTCGGCGGGAATCGGGCGGGCATTATTAACGTTAATGGGAAAATTCGGTCTCCGGAGCACGATCCCCCATTAACGGGAAACAACCCTAACCTAGGCTAATGCACCGCGGCCATCGCGGAAAGCCACGAGAGGAGTCGAATTTCGCGAGGGCTGATCCGAAACTCTGGATAATAATCCATCCGTTAACGGTGCTTCTAATCGGGGGTAACCATCTCTGATAAGGGTTGCCCCTTAGTCCTATGGTGCGGAAATTAAATTAATAAAAATATATAAATAGGCTTTAACAGGCCATCGCGATCTTAATCAAGTAGCCACTCCTACCTCCTCCTTCGCCTGCTTACTCTTATCCCGGGCGAAATAAATTAATAAAAATATTAAAATAGACGGTGAAAGGCCTCGCTACATTTTTTCCCCACTTTGGAGTTTTTCTTTTTCTTTTTTCTTTTTTATCCGAGGTGCTTCGCTCATCCTAGTTTGATATTCCGGGGGATGATGTCCCGATAAAAGCGAGTTTGGCCGCAGCATTCACGGGCCGGTATCACACGGTCCTCCGGAGTGGCCTTAACTTTAATACCCGCGTCTCTCCATACGCTGATAAGTGGCGCGATGCAACGTGGCCGACGACGACAAAGCTTTCAGTTTTACAGCCGCTTTGAAAGCTCGCCCGGCCTGCTTTTTTGGCCCTCGTAAAACTGCCGGCTCAATGCGCAAGCTACCCCTACTCGCTTTCCGGCACTTCGCGGAAAATGGTTTAAATCTCCCCACAAGCCTCCGCCCGGACATGTCCAAATGGTTTTGCGTGTCCCGCAAAGCTCCGGCGAATTCGGGGCCCTAATGAAATCCGCCCTGCTCTCTGTCCGGATATATCGGCGAATGAAGACTCGACATGTCTCGTTATAGCCGAATTTTCTCGAAATAAAAGATCAAGAGTCAGAAGCTCCGGCGAATTTCAGGCTATAAAAAAATCCTGCTCTCTGCCCGGACATATCGGCGAATAAAAGACTCGACATGTCTCGTAATCGTGAAATTCCACGATAACAAAACGAAAATTAGAATCCAGAGTTTAAAATTGTCTCATCCGCCCAGATTCTCAGAAATGACAAGAAGAAATCCGTGAGGGGATGATTATCAATTTTCCACCCTAACGCAATGTCCACCTCTAGACAGACGAATCTTAATCGTGAATATTAAATGTTAAAGAAGAAGTCAGGACTCCCAGGAGAATTTTGCTATATAATTTCGTCGGGTAATAAGAAATATAGGTGATTCCTTCGAATTTCCTCTAATAATTCTTAACTCTTCCGGGTAAGTCATAATCCCTCGGGGGAAATCTCCTTTCGTACTTTTTCTTAATAATTCCCAATAATTCCAGGTAAGTCTTAATCTCTCGGTGCATATGAAATCTCTCTGCACCGCCGAGGCAGAAAAATCCTTTGGGCCGATATGGCGTCCCGGAAGTGCATAGATAGCGTGGACAGCATCTCAAGGAATCTCTTTGGCCCCCCGGAACCCCGTTGTGTGCGTGCGATCCGACAGGTGCCCCTCTATTCGAAGCACCCGTTCGTTTCCTCGGCATCGTCGCTTAGGAAAGCTCCTTTGAAAAATCGACACGGTCGAAATCTCGATCCCGAAGGCGAGAATACGCGATAAAAGAGGCAAGCATATCCCCATTCATTCCTGTCGTAATCCATCGCGATCTCTGATCCCCCCCTCGCTCTTCAAGCTCCAAAATGCCCCGAAGGGAACGAAAAAAGGCAAAAACTGGGGAGCGCAATTAATTTCCAAAAAGTCTATTCGATTAAAGGCGGCTTTGCGCGACGTTTCCGGGACCAAAGGGGTGTCCCTCCCTTTTCGGATGTAATTAGTTCACCGGGGTTAAAAACTGTAATTAGCTAAAACCCGCGGAAAGGCTGAAAAAGAGAAATCTGACGATCTGTCGGATCCGTTCGCGTTTTTCAATTCCATTTTTTCTTTTTTTCTTTTTTTTTTTTCATTAGGGGGTCGCGTCCAGGGAAATTCAACGAAATTCCTTTGGGTTCCTTAAATTACCCCGAATTTCCTGGAGGGGGGCCGAAAGCTCCGAAATGGTCGGCTTTATTAGACGGCCTTTACGGCCTTTTGTCCAGTTTCTTTGATGTGTCATTTTTTGCGCCGTTTACCGCTAATATCCAGAAATGGCGGCCGGATTTCGTTCTTACAGCCCCGTGCGGATTTTTCTCGCGAGGACTGATCAAAATGGACGTGCACCGAAGGGATGATTAAAGGGGGGCTCGGAAATTGGAGCCCTCATTTAATCACGAGAATCTGGGAAACGCGTTCAATAAAAATCCCTTTTTTCGAAAAACGTATCACTAAAATGGCAAGATCTTATTTCTGCTCGAATTTGATTTATTTATTTACCTTTTCTCTATTCTCGGGGTACTGGAGAAAAATGTTGGGTTTTCGGTTTTCCGCAATTTCAAGGATTCCTTGAAACTCCCCAAAAATTCTCTTAATTCCGAAATGCGACATATCGGGATGTGTCAATACTGCATCTGCGTTTTCCACTATCGATCGCACCGAACCCGTAAAAAGAACCCTGAAAACTATCCCGAAGACCACCCCGAAAACTATCCCGAAAACTACCCTGAGGAACATCCCAAAAAGTTCCCACAGACCATGCATCTGGACGTGTCACGCGAACGGAAGGAAAGGAACGATCGTTAATTAAGGAGATAAATAAATTATCAACCTTCCACGGAAATTGGGTTACCCAGACGGTTCCAAATTTAGCGGCGACGTTGCCTCGAGAAATAGACGACCCGACGGGACTTTAATCGTCCATGGGGATCGATTTTTGGCCCTATCAATAGCCAGTGACCCACTGATAACCCAGTCGACTCGCATCCGAAAAGGATCCTTTTTTCAAGCTCGCCCCTTACATTTCTATTTCCTCATCTCATACTTCTTGATGAAAATGGGGGAAGGGTGAAGCCCCTTTGGCCAGGAACATCGGTGAGCAATTTCTGGGCGATTCGCGGCCCCGCGAGCCGCTTGGGGTGGCTTGCCCCCGGCACAATTGGGGGTTGGGGGGGCACCCACAAAAGAATCAAAGCGCACGGAGGTAATGGTTACGCCGGACAGCCAGTAATATTCCGGATGGACTGTGTGCTTTCGGTCGGAGTGCCCTCGCAAAGCAGCCGTTTAGATAAATTGCTTCTGCCGAGCCCCACCCCCGAGGCCCCCCAGGGGGTTGCATCCCCCATACACCGCGGGGTGGGACGGTAGCAAAGCACCTGAAACCCGCGAAAGGGGAAAAGAGAGTTTTCAATTACAGCTTAAACACTCGTGACAATTCGATTCCTCGGGTTCCCCCGTCCCCCCGTCCCCCCTCTCAGAACCCCAAAGACCTCGATTAAGCGAAAATGCAACCGACGCAACTTGAGAATCCGCATGGTGAAGGAAAACTGAGGACGGAAAATCCCAATGGTTTCGAACCAGTCTAAATGGGCGAGGTGGATTGAACTAAATTGAGGTGAGTTTAAAAAAATGAGGCGGATCGAAAATATCATGCAGATTGGAAAAAAAAAAGAAAAAAAAAAGTGATGCACTCTCGGATGCAGCATCTCCCATCCACCTGCAGGCTGCACCACCCTTGTTGTCAGCTGACAGTGACAGATCGCGGCACTGGTTATTTTTCGGGTAATTTGATGGACTCGTTTTTTTTTATTGTTTTTTTTGGAGGTCTTTTTGGTTTTGAATTTTCTTTTTTTTTCCACTCGGAACATCCGTCTGCGTGTCGGGGCCAATATGGCGATCCGACATCCCCGAATGACGGATAAGCGCGGTGGCAGCGTGCCAGCGGCCTGTTCCGAAGAAAGTTGCATGGGCCAATACCGAGATATATACCGCGCACTGCGCTTTTTCCCCTCTCGAGTTCTGGACAAACAATGAGTTAACCAACGGGATTCCAGAGCCGAGTGCGCAGTCGATAATGTGGATTTCTTTCTGACGGATTCGAAACGCCAGGATCCGAGATCAGCGTCATAGGTTCTTCGTTGTTTGCGAATGTTACGCGAACCGTGGGGTACATTTCGACGCCATCTTGGATATCATGGAATTTAAACAATTTATAAATGAAAACATAACCTCAATTTAATCCCCCGAACTACCGAGTTAAGAGGGGACGTCGCTCGGGGGTTGAAAGCGCGGGTGCAACCCATTTTGCAACA